AGACTGTAGCACTGCACTGTCCTCCCATTGTTCACTGACTTGCTCAAGCAGGCACCAGTAACGTCTCCATTGTGAGACCTCTTGTTACTGTGTTTAACATATTGAATACATCATGGGTAGCTTGCCAGGCTTTGCCGTATGGGCAGCATACTCTCGGTAAAAGACCATTGTAGCAAAATTATTTTATATGAGTTTCTAACATTACTATTTAAATCTTTTGAAATTTCTCATTGCCTTATCTTAACATACAAAATTTCCAATGTTCTATTCTAAAATAACAGACTTTTATTTTACAAAAAAGGTACCTGCGGTGATAGGACAGAGGGTATGGCACTTATCTTGCACACAGCCAACCCTGGTTTGATCCCCAGCATCCCATATGATTCCCCCAAGCTATTCCAGGAGTAATTCCTGAGCCAGCACCAGGAGTTCCTCTCCTGAGCATCACCAGGAGTGGCCCCTAAACAGAAAAACAAAAAAGTACTACCTATACTGTCCCATATAGCTCTGGTTTTGGGTGCAGTATGGTAACACATATTTTGAAGAGATTTGACAATATGGGCTGGAGCGATAGTACAGCGGTAGGTTGTTTGCCTTGCATGCAGCCAATATAGCCGACCTGAGTTCAATTCCTCCGCCCCTCTCGGAGAGCCTGGCAAGCTACCGAGAGTATCTCGCCCGCACGGCAAAGCCTGGCAAGCTCCCCATGACGTATTCGATATGCCGAACACAGTAACAAGTGTCACAATGGAGACGTTACTGGGCCCGCTCGAGCAAAATCGATGAACAACAGGAGGACCGTGACAATATACTTCTAAAACATATACAGTCTTATAAACCAATTTTGCTCAATAAAATTTTTAAATGACAACGATAAGGAAAAACAAAATAAATCTACCTTTCATTCTATAGCTTGTTGTTAACTTTTATATTGTACCCGAGGCTCATGTAAGAACCAATAAAAACGAATTTTTAAACAGAAAAGGCGTACCTATCTTTTTATAAATGTATAAGTAGTATCTTTCTTACATAAAAGACTTTTCTGCCATCAAAAGCTTGCAGTGTAGGAGGCAGGTAAATGGCTCAGAGGACTCAGTACACACATTACATTCAGGAATCTTAGAGTAAATCCCTAATCCAGCATGGTACTCTAATGACTCCCACTGAAAGTAGCCCCCGCCCCTGCCAGTACCACCCAATGTAGCCCTCAAGTCAGACAAAAACTTGGAATGTCATTTTTCAAAGTTTAAAAAGTGTTCATCTTGGGTACTTGGTCTAATTAGACAGGGAAAATTAAGTTTCAAGACCAGAGTATTCTCACTTATGATCTAAACTTACAGGATGGTCTATATTTCTTCATTTGAATCTGGGAAAGAATTAGTGCAAAACTGTATTTTTATTGACAAAAATCTTTTTGAAACTGAGATCACTTGAGTTTAGTACGTTTTCAATGATCATTGTGAGCTTTATGTTGGTTTGTTGTCTGCAGTCAGTCACAGATGAGTTTTTCAAGGACATCTAGATTGTGGAAAACTTTAGAAAATTTGTCCTTGACATTTCAATGAGGAAAGAAAATTATATTTAGTAATGTGAGAGCTACCGTACATTGCATCTTACCTTGAATAGTGCTGATTCTCTTTGGTATGGATACAGGCCTGAAAGTAACAAACATATTTTCTTAAGTTAATTCATTACTGCCAAGAATCTTCTTCAGTAACTGAGAGAACAGAATACTGCCGTGATACAGTGCTTGCTCAATGCAGATAAGTTTGTAGACCATCTCCACAAAAAATGTAGACATTTTGCTTACTGCTTATGCTTGCTCCTTCAATAATTATATATTATATATATATTAATAATGATATATATGGGGGTTGTTTGGCAGGAGGTATCCCAGTGATGCTCAGAGGTATCCCCAGATCTGTGCTCAGAAATTCTTCTGCTGATATTCATGGAACCACACACAGTACTGGGGGATCAAACCAGATAAACTTCAACTCACATTAACACAGTTTACAAAAAAGGTAGTAAAGGGACCTCAAACATACTGCAGTGGGTAGGGAACTTGCCTTACATGTAGCCAATCTGGGATTGATCCCTGGCACCCCATATCATCCCCTAAGCCCTGCAAATGCCCTTCTATGTTCATTGCATCACTATTCACAATAGCCAGAATCTGGAAACAACACACGTGCCCAAGAAAATATAACTGGATAAAAACACTATGGTACATCTACACAATGGACTATTATTCAGCCACCAGGAAAAATGAAGTAATGAAATTTTCATCTGAATGTATGGACATGGAGAGCATGATGCTGAGTGAAATGAGTCAGAAGGAGATGAACAGACATAGAATAATTTTAATTCATTTGTGGGATATAAAAAACATAGTATGAAACTAATACACAAGGACAGTAGAAAAAAGGACCAGGAGGACTGGTCCATGGTTGGAAGCTAACCACAGTGGTGGTAGGGGAGGGGCAGCTACGATAGACAAGGAACCACCATAACAAATATAGTTGGCAATTATCACTCTGAACAAGAACTGAGTGCTGTAAGCAAGTAAAGGGTCAAACATGATAAACTTTCAGTACCTGTACTACAAACCACAATGCCCAAAAGGAAAGGGAGACAGAGCAAGAGAGAGAGATAGGAAGAAGAAAAGTTCATGCCATAGAGGCAGGCTGGAGGGAAGGTGGTGATAGGAAAACTGCGGACATTAATGGTGGGAAAATGTACAGTGGTAAAGGGACGGATGATGGAATATTTGTATAACTGAAACCTAATCATGAACAGCCTTTGTGTGTCTCATGGTGATTCAGTTAAAAAAAATAAGAGTGACCCCTGAGTGTACAGCCGGGACTAAGCCCTGAGCACTCCAGGGTGTGGCCCCAAACCCAAATGAAACAAAAAAAAAAAGTAAAAATATTAGAGGGTAGTAAATTTCAAGAAGCCATGAAACAAACAGAAAAAATCTGGACAAGATATTTTCTAAAAAGGAGTCATTCTACTGCCAGCTCAGGATGAAAGCCAGACTATGTCTGGAGATAATTCACAGGCAGAACAACACCCTGATAAAGTCTATGAGGGTGAAGACACTGCTAGTGTCAAAAGTCCTTCTTCCTGACAACTCCCTAGTACTGACTCTAGCTCAACCTGAGGCAGCTTGAAGAAAATCATATGTAAATCAGCTAGCCAAAGGAGTTTGGACATGCCATTCTGGACTTTCTGCACTCCTACTTTGATGTAATCTCTTTTAATTTTAAGGCGCTCTCTACTTTCTCTAAAGAAGCTCATGCTCTTACTTTAAGTATATTCTATTCTCCTCTCCTAGCATGTTTTTGCTTAACTATTTATTTTATCCTAAAAATCTATTCTGTGTTGGCAGATGATGACCAGACTTAGTGAGGTTGGGATGCTGACTACTTTCCTGAAAAGAGCATAACCTTCTCTCACCCTGAGAACCAGGGTTTCCCAAAATTTCATGTGGGCAGGAGAGCAAATTGATTAGGTCATATGCACAGCCTGTTGGTTGCCTCAGTGAGGCCTGCAAGACCTCATCACCATGACTAGCAAGAGTTCTTGCAAACTTTACCCAGACTGACCTCCCTGGGCACATAGCCCACCAAGTGTGAATGAAAACGATATGTGTTCTTTAGGAAATCTAAGAATTCTACAGCTTTAACTACTATTCTAATGTATGTTGGCTTGTTTTATTCGAGAGGGGAGAAGTGATACAACTTACAAAGGTAAGGTAAAGGCCCTCCCGTTGATCGTCGATTTGCTCGAGCGGGCCCAGTAACGTCTCCATTGGAGACTTTGTTGTTACTGTGTCTGGCATATCGAATACTCTCGGTAGCTTGCCGGGCTCTCCAAGAGGGGCAGAGGAATCGAACTCGGGTCGGCCATGTTGGCCGCTTGTAAGGCGAACGCCCTACCCGCTGTGCTATCGCTCCAGCCAGTTTCCGTAGTGTAGTGGTTATCACGTTCGCCTCACACAACTTACAAAAAGTGAGAATATTTGAACAATAAATGAAGGAAACTGGAAAAGAGTCAAACAAATAAAAATGTTTTCTGAAATGGTGAACACCATAGAAATTCTCCAGTTGAAGAAACACAGCTCTATAACTGTAAAAAAAAAAGAAAGAAAAAAAGAAAACTTGGGATAGGTACAATCGAATAAAATCAAGAACAAAACTCTCTACGGCTCTACTTCCAGAAATAAATATTAACACTGGCATAGAGCTTTTTTCACACTTTTTTTCGCTTTTCGAGTCACATCCAGCGATGCTCAGGGGTTACTCTTGGCTCTGTACTCAGGAATTACTCCTGGCAGTACTTGGGGAACCCTATGGGATGCCAGGGATTGAACCCGTGTCAGCTACATGCAAGAAAAACGCCCTATCCACTGTACTATCACTCTATTCCCCACTCATTTTTCCTACAAAACTTTTCCACACACACACATATACACACTCATATATACAGGGATAATCTTATAGATATCAATTTAGAATCCAAATTCTATACTGGAGAATATAGTGTAATTCTTGTTATTCCAGTCGATTTTCTTCAAAAAAGTGATTTTGTACTATTTACTAAATTTCCTATATTAGTAACTAAGGTTATTTCAAGTACTTTGCTATTTTAAGTATCACTATGAAAAATAGAATGTACTTGTTAATAAATATTAATTTCAATGTTGGATTCTTTTATATTCCTCTAACTATGAATCATTAAGTCACACCTCAAACTTTAAATCCATACAGACCCATCAATCCTAGAACAGTAGCACAATTTTAATTCCATAAATGATTCACCAAGGAAATAATGCTACCTGAACAAAATTCCTTTCAGAAGCACAAATTAGATATCAAAGTTATAAGAATATGTTCCTTTGATTTATAGCTAGGCTTAATAATATATGATTATTATCTGCTATATTTTTGCATTGTGAGTTATTTTTAATGTCCTAAAACCAGTAATTAATTTTTAAATTACATTATCTTTATGCTGCCTTCGTCCTCCTCGTCATCGTCGTCCAGCATTATTTCGTCGGGGTTAAACGAGGACAGGGCGGACGTGTCCGTGTTGTACTCGCTGCGCTCCTCTCCGGAGTCACTCTGCCCACCGTCCTGCTCGTCATCGTCACCGCACGACTGCTCCTCCCTGGCGCTCTGCAGCCGGACATTGATGTCTGTGATGCCGAGCTGGGCACAAAACTCAGTGGTCTGAGGATTGATCCTGTGCACCAACGGCACCTGGGCCTGGGGCTTCCCAGGGTCGTAGCAAGCAGCCGTCACGGTGAAGTTGCAGGGCACTCTGAGGTCATGATTCAGTCTTTCCAGGACTTCCTTCATCGATTCCTCTGTTGCGCTATAATCCCACCTGGCATGCAAGCCATTATTCTCAGGCATGTTCGACAGACGCCCAGTCACATTCATAAGCTCGTTCGTGGCCCTGAGAACAGAGAGCCATTCAACGTCATACTCCAGGTAGGCAGGAGCCCCGGGCTCATGTTCCACTTCTATTACCTGAAGAAAGTCCCTGTGTGGCAAGCATTTGTCCAAGGCTAAAAATTTGGTTGATTTGGCAGTCTGTTCCTTATCCTTGACCTGGTGCTGCATCAAGGCTGCAAACTTCACGTGAAGGTGCGCAGAAAACCAGTACGTCGGCCTGAAGTGCTCGAGAAGTTCGGAAGCAGCAGGACTTCCTAACGTGTTATTCTCCACTTCTTGTCGGAAAAAAGACTTTGTCTTCAGAAGCTGCTTCTTATTGCCATAATGATAAATGCTTCGTGGCCAGTCATGAGATAGGAAGATGTCCATGGGCTGCTTCAGCTGTTTTAATTTATAGACTTCTATATTTCTCACATGATATATACTCCTTATTGTAGCTGAATTATATGGTGGGCTCTCAAAATGACCTTTTCGATAGTCGTGAGATTTAAAGATACCAGAGATTCCACCAATTCTTACACCTCGGTATTTTACTACACCAGCCAAACCTAAATAATAAATGTTTGGTGCTACACAGCCACCATAAGATAACTCCTGCAAATGATTGGAGGCCTCGTGGTTACCCCCTACGAAGATTGTGAGGACGGGGGCCTTTTTCTCTCCGGAGTAGTACCTGTAGAAGGTCTGCATGTGGCGGTACTTGGGCGGCATGGCCATGCAGCGCAGGTCGGCCTCGTTGCGCACCGCCTGGAAGTCGCCGCAGCACAGCAGCAGCTCCACGGGCCCCGGGAGTATTCCGAGGGTATTAATACTACCGAGAGTATTCCGCCCGCACGGAAGAGCCTGGCAAGCTATCCGCTGTGTATTCGATATGCCAAAACCAGTAACTACAACTGGTCTCATTCACCTGACCCTGAAGGCTTCACCGATATGGCAGCACTGAGAAGGATGAGAAAGGAGAGGCCGACAAAATCTCAAGGCCGACCTAGGCTGCCACAACGAAGGAAGACAAAAATGATCGTCTGTACTTTCAATGCATGTACGCTAGCATCAGATGCATCCATTGAGGACCTGATGGTACAAGCGTGAATGATCAAGTATGACATCATTGGTCTGACCGAGACAAGAAGGCACGAATCTCACCATGCCGTTTTTGACACTGGAGAAGAATTGTTCCTCGGAACATGTGATAAAAGAGGTGTCGGAGGCGTCGGTGTCCTTGTCAACACAAACTTGGCCAAGAGCATTGATTCATTCGAATGCCTAACAACCCGAATCGGACGTTTACATTTGAATAGATGTGGCTCACTGCCTGCAGTTTCTATCTTCGTTGTCTACGCACCAACATCTCATTATGATGAAAGAGAAATCGAGAAGTTCTACATGGAGCTAGAGAAGTTCTATAAAGAAGACCACACCTTCTACAAGACCATTGTGGGTGATTTTAATGCCAAGATAGGACCGAGAAGATCAGCTGAAGAACTTCACATCGGGACCCATGGCCTAGAATGGAACGAACAGGGTGAGAGACTGTCTGAGTTCATCATGTAGACCAAGACCATTCATGGTAACTCACAGTTCCAGAAGGCAGAATCTAAACGATGGACATGGGAGTCTCCCGGTGGACGATTCCACAACGAAATAGACCACATCATATTCAATCGACGGTTTTGCCTGACTGATGTCGCTGTTGTCCCAAAATTTCGAACGGGATCGGACCACCGTCTCCTTCGTGCAAAATTCTACTTCACAGAGCAGGGAGAAAGGGCTGCAAAGTTCAAAAAGAGAACTCTCAGAATGACCACCAACTGGGAACTCTTTGGTACTATTGCGGCAACATGGGAAGATGCCATTGTTGACAACATTGATGAGGAATACGATCGACTGGTTCAGCACCTCCATGAATGTGCGAGGAACGCCAAGAGAGAGATAGCCACAAAAAGTCGCCTATCTTCGAAAACTCTTGAGCTAATTCGCCAGCGTGGTTTGGCGCATGCCTCAGGCAACCACAAGCTAACGTCCGAGCTTGCAAAGCAGTGCAGAGATGCGATCAAGGAAGACCTCAAAGAGAGAAGAGCAGAAGTACTGGTAGATGCGGCAGAAGCCGGGAAAAATATTTGTAACGCCCGCCTGTCCTTCGCCAACTATAAGACCAAGATGACTGCCCTCCGACGTCCTGATGGATCCATCACATCCTCCAGAACGGCAATGGAGAAGATTATCCATGACTTCTACTCAAATCTCTTCGATAGCCATGTCCCCTTGCCGACATACCAAATTCCACAGGATGGGTATGTCGTTCCCAACGTTCTCCCTTCCGAAATCCGACACGCCATTTTGTCGGTAAAGAAGCAAACAGCACCCGGCCCAGACAAGGTCAGACCTGAACACCTGAAGAATCTGCCGTCAGTACTCATCAATACACTGGCTCGGCACTTCACTCGCTACCTGTCTGAATGCAAGGTTCCGTCCCAATGGAAAACCAGCAGGACCGTACTACTGTTCAAGAAGGGAGACATCCATGACATTGGCAACTATCGCCCGATCTGCCTATTGTCTGTCATCTACAAGTTGTTCACTCGAGTCATCCTGAATAGGATTGGCAGAACACTAGATGAAGGACAACCATGCGAGCAAGCAGGGTTCCGCAAAGGATTCAGCACCATCGACCATATCCACACGATAACCAAGCTCATTGAGGTTTCTCGGGAGTTCAAGATGCCACTCTGCTTAACGTTCATTGATTTAAAGAAGGCCTTTGATTCTGTTGAGACGGAAGCGGTCATTGAAGCCCTAGCCAATCAGGGCATTCAAGCCCAATACATTAGGATCCTCCGTGAGCTGTATTGCAGATTCACTACCAGGATCTCACCATTCTACAAAGAAGTGAACGTTGATGTCAAGAGAGGTGTGCGGCAGGGTGATACCATTTCACCGAAACTCTTCAGTGCCACCCTCGAGAACATCATGCGACGACTGGAATGGGAAGGAATGGGAGTGAAGATAGATGGTCGGCAACTACACCACCTCCGCTTTGCTGATGACATTGTTTTAATAACACCAAACATCAGCCAAGCGGCACAAATGCTGGCCGACTTTGACCGTGAGTGTGGAAAGGTAGGACTACAGCTGAATCTTACGAAGACAATGTTTATGAGAAACAGCCTTGTTCCTGACGCCCCATTCGCTCTCAATGGAACGACCATCTCCGAATGCAACAGCTATGTGTACCTAGGTCGAGAGGTCAACATGACAAATGACCTGGCACCCAAGCTGCGCAGGAGGAAGAGAGCGGCTTGGAACGCCTTCAAGAACGTCGAAGAAACAGCTAAGAGGACGAAGAACCTCCGGCTCCGGTCACATCTCTTTGATTCTACTGTTCTTCCTGCATTAACATATGCCTCAGAGACCTGGGCCCTACGCAAACAAGATGAGAACGCCATTCAGGTCTCCCAAAGAGGAATTGAAAGAGCTATGCTTGGAATATCACGTTTCACTCAAATGAGAGAACGAATCCGGAGTTCTGACATCCGTCAACGATCAAGGATCAGGGACGCTGTCTCATTTGCCAAGGTGTCGAAAATCAGATGGGCTGGTCACGTAATGAGATTTAAAGACGACCGTTGGACTAGAGCTGTTACTGATTGGATTCCACGGGATGTCAAGAGACCGCGTGGCCGCCCACCTACCAGATGGTCAGACTTCTTTGTCAAGATCATGAACGATCGGTTCGAGGCCCTTCATGTTCCCGGAGAGAACAGATGCCATTGGGCTACACTAGCACGCGACAGGGACAAATGGAGACGTTACTGGCGCCCACTCGAGCAAATCGACGACTAACGGGAAGTTAAGTGATTAAGTGATTATCTTTATCTTTTTACCCAAAATATGTGAAATAATCCTGTACACATTAAGGTATGTCAAAGTATTGCTGGTATTTTTATCTGTCTTTTAAATCTGTTAGTGATGCTTTAGGACAGGAATTCTCAAACTTTTTCTACTCACAACCATTTTTTTTTGCTTTTTGGGTCACACTTGGCAATGCACAGGGGTTCTGCACTCAGGAATTACCCCGGCGGTGTTCAGGGGACCATATGGGATGCTCGGAATCGAACCCGAGTTGGCTGCATGCAAGGCAAATACACTACCTGCTGTGCTATTGCTCCAGCCCCTCACAACCATTTTTTCGCCTGAAAAAAATGTGTGAGGAGGAGAAACTTGGGAATATATAAGGACTAGTATTACTCTGTGCTCATGAGAGACTCCTGGCAGTACCAAAAGTTTTGTGCCAGGGATTTGAACCAGGGTTGCGAGTACTGCAGCCACATGCAAGGCAGTACTAAGTCCTTAGCTCCTGTAATATCTCTATGGCCCAATGGCCTGAAAAACATCTATGTCACTTTAGTCATATATATGTACATACATAAGTATATACATATATGTATATATTTAAATGGCACTAGGGCCAGAGAGATAATACAGGAGGGAGGGTACTTGCCTTGAACACAGCCAGCCAAAGTGGCTTTGATCCTCAGAACCCCATATGGTTTCCGAGCCCTCCCGGCAGGATCCCTGAATACATAGCCAAGAGTAAGTCTTGAACACAGCTTCAAGCCTTGAACACAGATGGGTGTGGCCCCAAAACAAAACAAAAAAGATATTTTAAAAAACCCTCCTGCATTCATTTTTGAGATCCACAGATTAAGAAACTAGACCTTAGGAAAGAGAATGTAGAAATTTATTTAACTCTCTCTGTGACCTCATATTTTAAGCAATTTCAGAATAAGATATGTAGTGTTGGTTTTGTATAATTTTTCAAGCAAGTATTTGATAATCATTTTTATTATTAGTCTTTTACTTACATTTCCCATATAGATGCTTTCTTCAGTGATTCCCCCCCACACATTTCAAATATTGTATCTCATTTATTTCCCTTAATGTAAGACACTGGATAGATAATAGTTCAGAAGAACACTGCACTACCTATAGTAGGGATGAAATATTTTGCTCTTGTTTTAGACTTGAGCAGTAAGGAAGTACTTGATATTCAAAATTTAGCATGGTCTCAGCTCCTGGTCACGGTCACAGTCCTCCCGTTATTCATCAATTTGCTCGAGTGGGCCCAGCAACGTCTCCATCGTGAGACTTGTTGTTACTGTGTTTAGCATATTGAATACATCACGGGTAGCTTGCCAGGCTTTGTCGTGTGGGCGAGATACTCTCGGTAGCTTGCCAGGCTCTTCGAGAGGGCGGAGGAATAGAACTCGGGTTGGCCATGTTGGCCGTTTGCAAGGCAAACACCCTACCCACTGTGCTATTGCTCCAGCCCAGCTCCTGGTATGAAATATATATATATATATATATATATATATATATATATATATATATATAGCGTGTGTATAAATAATGTCGTGCATTGGTAGTATTATATCAATCCTAATTTAGGAACAGTAATTTAATATAAAAAGATGCTAAATTTCATTGAATATTTGAGATTTGGCCGTATAATGAGTTCATTTGTTCTTCACAGTGTAATAAATTATGTTTTATTTTGTATGATTCTCCAGCTTATTGATGCTAATGTTTGTATGACAGATATTTACCAGCTCCTTTAAATTCTTCTTTGTGCTTTCTAACATTCTGCAGAAAATACATAACTGTGGTTTTACCAAGTATATGTTTTCACTAGAGGATAACTTTGTTGTATGTTTTTCTTCTTATTTCACACAGTATGAAATTCAAGTTTCCTTACATTAAAGTTCGCTGTGTGGTAGTTCTCCCAATTATTTTCTCTCTTACTAACAGGATTAT